TAAAGGGTATCAAATCAACAGTTTAATACCTCTAATCTGTAGACACTGTTACTCACTCCTATCTTGACACTGTATAAGGTTTTACAGTGTTTGTGTGAACCAAGTAAAGGGTATCAAATCAACAGTTTAATACCTCTAGTCTGTAGACACTGTTACTCACTCCTATCTTGACACTGTATAAGGTTTACAGTGTTTGTGTGAACAAAGTAAAGGGTATCAAATCAACAGTTTAATACCTCTAGTCTGTAGACACTGTTACTCACTCCTATCTTGACACTGTATAAGGTTTTACAGTGTTTGTGTGAACCAACGAAAGGGTATCAAATCAACAGTTTAATCCTTTTAGTCTGTAGACACTATATCACTCAATCCTGTCTTGACAGTGTGTGTGGTTTACCATGTCTCAAATAAAGCGTATCAAATCAACAGTTTAATACCTCTAGTCTGTAGACACTGTTACTCACTCCTCTCTTGACACTGTATAAGGTTTTACAGTGTTTGTGTGAACCAAGTAAAGGGTATCAAATCAACAGTTTAATACCTCTAGTCTGTAGACACTGTTACTCACTCCTATCTTGACACTGTATAAGGTTTTACAGTGTTTGTGTGAACCAAGTAAAGGGTATCAAATCAACAGTTTAATACCTCTAATCTGTAGACACTGTTACTCACTCCTCTCTTGACACTGTATAAGGTTTACAGTGTTTGTGTGAACAAAGTAAAGGGTATCAAATCAACAGTTTAATACCTCTAGTCTGTAGACACTGCTACTCACTCCTATCTTGACACTGTATAAGGTTTACAGTGTTTGTGTGAACAAAGTAAAGGGTATCAAATCAACAGTTTAATACCTCTAGTCTGTAGACATTGTTACTCACTCCTATCTTGACACTGTATAAGGTTTTACAGTGTTTGTGTGAACAAAGTAAAGGGTATCAAATCAACAGTTTAATACCTCTAGTCTGTAGACACTGTTACTCACTCCTATCTTGACACTGTATAAGGTTTACAGTGTTTGTGTGAACAAAGAAAAGGGTATCAAATCAACAGTTTAATACCTCTAATCTGTAGACACTGTTACTCACTCCTATCTTGACACTGTATAAGGTTTTACAGTGTTTGTGTGAACCAACGAAAGGGTATCAAATCAACAGTTTAATCCTTTTAGTCTGTAGACACTATATCACTCAATCCTGTCTTGACAGTGTGTGTGGTTTACCATGTCTCAAATAAAGCGTATCAAATCAACAGTTTAATACCTCTAGTCTGTAGACACTGTTACTCACTCCTATCTTGACACTGTATAAGGTTTTACAGTGTTTGTGTGAACCAAGTAAAGGGTATCAAATCAACAGTTTAATACCTCTAATCTGTAGACACTGTTACTCACTCCTCTCTTGACACTGTATAAGGTTTACAGTGTTTGTGTGAACAAAGTAAAGGGTATCAAATCAACAGTTTAATACCTCTAGTCTGTAGACACTGTTACTCACTCCTATCTTGACACTGTATAAGGTTTACAGTGTTTGTGTGAACAAAGTAAAGGGTATCAAATCAACAGTTTAATACCTCTAGTCTGTAGACACTGTTACTCACTCCTATCTTGACACTGTATAAGGTTTACAGTGTTTGTGTGAACAAAGTAAAGGGTATCAAATCAACAGTTTAATACCTCTAGTCTGTAGACACTGTATCACTCAATCCTGTCTTGAAAGTGTGTGTGGTTTACAGTGTCTTTGTGTTTCAAATGTACAGTTCTAGTCTGTAGATATTGTATCATGTAATCTTATTTCTGTCATGTCCAAATTTTGACAAGCTTGTTCTAGAACTCATAATTAATGAAGATCAGATAATCCCATATTCTGAGTTGTAAGTAGGATTTTCTTGATGTTACAATTTTTTCTGTGTGTTTTTTGTTGTTGTTTTTGGTGAAATGATTGGAAAACATAATTTTTCGATCTCAAGTTGAAGCATAATTCCAGTTAGTCTGTAGTTGGAATGACATCACATTCAAGAGCTATTTGACATGACATTTGTTTTGGACTTGGAATATTTGCATCTAAACAGGTTTTGATATACATCTGGCAATGATGAAAATACCGAACATAAAAGACAAACAACTGAACTTGGTTAATTTAAGAGCTGTATCTGACATCAAGATATTTCGTTAAATGATACAAGATGCTGGTTGCCCAGAAAAGACAAAATGTCAGCTTCTAATGTACTCATGACCGATCAGATAGCTGCATAAAAAATAAATGTACTCTCATTTATTGGTGGAAATAGGATATGTGTTTCTTCAAGCACGGACTCTAATAATCCCCAGCCTGTAATGCAAGGGGTTATGAAAACATTTTCAAACATGGATGATTTAGCAGAGCCCATTGGTCCAATGCTTCCAGAAATATCAGAGGGGCTTCCATCACTCAATGTCAGTTCATGTATAAGTGTTTCATCACCTGAATACGTACCTGATCAGTTTGGGCGAAGTATAGGTAATTATGTGCAACCAACCTTTCTTGGCACCAATATAAATAATGCTGAAGATGGTGATAATAATACAAATATTGGTTAATCAACAGATGAATGGCATGCAATGGTTGGTTGGTTTGGTGGTTGTTTGTTTTCTGCCTCACTCAGCAATATTCCAGTTATATGGTGGCAGTCTGTAAATAATTGAGTCTGGTCCAGACAATCCAGTGATCAACAGCATGAACATTGATATTGCATTGGGATACGATGACATGTGTCAAACAAGTCAGTAAGCCTGACCACCCGATCCCGTTAGCTGCAGGCTCTTACGACAAGCACTGATTGCTGAAGACCAATTCTAAGCGGTTCTTCAAGGGTTGACAAGCATTTGAAGAATACATAATTTCAGACATCAAACATTTTATGAATAATATCCTTTATATTTTTTGTAATAATGTTCCAAGTTGCCGACATATAAATGTACCAAAGCCCCATGACTGTCGTACATCCATGTTAAGGTATGAGAGATATGATTACCTTGGTGCTAAGATTGCTTTTTACAAAGGGCACCCATGGCTGCTTCTTGCTCCTGGAATGATGAATGACATGTTCCTGAAACATCCTTACAAACAAAAAAAAGAAGTTCTTGTGTTCTTCCAACTTCTAAATCATTATCAAATGACTGATTGTTCATGATGACAGATAGTGCTCTGGTAGTGAAGTCGTCTCTGGGCCATCTTTGGCCACCAGGTGGCTCTACTTCTGAGTTGATTGCTTTACTTTTAAATCCCTGATTCTTTGCATGTATCAGAGGAAATATATATGTTTATCTTCAAACCAAAGTTTCTTTGTAATGCCCAGTGGTTGGATCTTTTTTAGACAGAGTCGATCTTACTATTGATCCTCAACGCTTACGGAGGCTGATTCAGCTAACTTGATTTGTGGGTGAAAATTCGTCACCTCGTTGGTGTTGGTCATTTGGTCAGCAGCACCAAGCCAGCCTTTTGTGCTTCATGAGACGCTTTTACCGAGAAAGAAATTTGATTTTAAAAATTCATGTTGCGATTACTACGAATGACCTGCGTTAGAAGGAGATGGACTTGATTAGATTTGCTGCAATCAGTGTGTGCCCATCTGTCATGGCTGGTAGATGCCTATATTTAGACAGGTTAACATTGCTGTACTTACTGAGGGAGTATGGTGGCTCAGTGGTTGAAGCATTTACTTGTCACGCTGAAGGATCTGTTTGATTCCCCACATAGGTGGAATGTTAAAAGCCGTTTTCTGGTGTCTAATAGTAATATTACTGGAATATTGCTAAAAGGAAACTAAATTCCCTAACTCTACTTTCTCTAATACAATAAACTACATATATAATGAGGACCACCTCAGTGGTGTAGTGGTGAGAGGTCCGCCCCAAGAGCGGAAGGTCGCGGGTTCGATCCCCGACCACGTCATACCAAAAGACATTAAAATATGGTATTTGTTGGTCCCTGCCTGGCGCTCGGCATTAATGGGTACAACAAGGACTGGTCGGCTCGGAGTCAGTATAATGTGTCTCAGTGGGGTATTCATGCTTCACTGCGGCATGGTATCTCAGTGGGCTAGCACTATAAAACCAGCTAAGTCTGGGCTAGTACAAGCAGCCGCACATACACATACACATGCATGCACGTCGTCATATGAGCGAGCGAAATATTCTCAAGCACGACGTTAAACCTCACATATATAATGAACATGTTTACAACAAACAAACTTATGGATATAACAAACAATTTATATATCATCTTTGCCTTAGTCACACCACATCATTTGAACTTTTCCAAATACATGCAGCTGATGTATTTAACACAATAAGTAATATGAGTTAGATATTATGCATCAACTGTATCACACCAATGTTTTGTAAGAAACTATTACTGTACCTGTATGCAATCAAAGATCTCCTGACTCTTGAGTATCTCTTTACCATGCTACATGGGAGTCAAAGAACATTTATTCAAGGCATTGTGTCGTTGCAGCATTTCATGAATATGTCTGATATATATATGTTATATGTAGTCTCTTGGAGTTGAAATGTATTTTTTATCTTCCTGTGCTGCAGGTGTAGTTTCTTGGAGTGAAGATATTGTGCACATCATCCTTTGTTGCAGGACTGACTGACAGACTGAGTTTGGTTTTACGCCCTTTTAGCAATATTCCAGCAACATCATGGTGGGGGACACCAGAAATGGGCTTCACACATTTTACCCATGTGAGGATTCGAACCCGGTCTTCAGCGTGATGAGCCAATGCTTTAACCACTAGGCTACCCCACCGCCCCTTTGTTGCAGGAATTCTCTTGGGTCAGAGACATTAAATATATCATCCGATGACTCTTGGAGTAGAAATATAGGATATATTATCCATGTCTCTTGCAGTGGCAATATTGTATATATCATCCCATGTCTCTTCGAGAAGAGATATGCTGTATATATCGCCTTACAGTTTTTCAAATGATATCTGATGTTTCATCTTCTGTGTTACAGGTGTTATCTCTTGGAGCGGAAGTGTTGCCCGAATACAAGCTGCAGTCGCCACGCATCCATAGCTGCACCATCCTCCACTACTCTGCGTTCAAGGCGGTGTGGGACTGGATCATCCTGCTCCTTGTCATCTATACTGCCGTCTTCACCCCCTACGTGGCAGCGTTCCTGCTGGGTGAGGAGAAGAAGAACCGTGTGCGTGAAACAATGCAGGAACGTTACTCCAGCCCTCTGAACATTATTGACCTCATAGTTGATATAATGTTTATCGTCGACATTCTTATAAACTTCCGTACCACTTATGTGAACAAGAACGATGAAGTGGTGAGCCACCCAGGAAAGATAGCAGTGCATTACTTCAAGGGATGGTTCCTTATTGATGTTGTTGCTGCCATTCCTTTTGATCTCCTTCTATTTGGGTCCGAAACTGATGAGGTAAGTGTTCCATGGACCAATGGAGGGTCCAACAATTTAGTAATATTCTAGAGGCATGGCTTCTCTTGTTGAGACAATATTTCTTAGTTCGCATATAGAAATATGCATATATTTTTCTCTGAAAGAAACATCTGAACAATCATTTTCCTCATTGTTTTTGACATCCAACAAATAGTTTTGGGATAGTCATCGAGGAGACAATCTACATTCAGTGTTGTGCTTGCATATTGAAATGTCTAAATTTTGTGTGATTCCATGGCATTTGATCAACTAATCACGCTTTTCATTTGTTTCCATAAACCAACAAATAATTATGTCATGCTAAATAGGATCTGTATGTGCAATCAGCATCTTCACTATAATATGTCACAACACATAGCACAATATTCATGAAGATCCAGACCGCCTCCATGGTGTAGTGGTTAGAGTGTCCGCCCGGGAGAGCAGGTCGCGGGTTCGATCCCCGACCGCGTCATACCAAAAGACATTAACATATGGTACTTGTTGGTCCCTGCCTGGCGCTCGGCATTAATGGGTACAACAAGAACTGGTCGGCTTGGAATCAGTATAATGTGTCTGAGTGGGGTATTCATGCTTCACTGCGGCATGGTATCTCAGTTGGCTAGCACTATAAAACCAGCTTCAGTCTGCTCTAGTACAAGCAGCCGCACATACACATACACACGCATGCACATCGTCATATGAGCGAAATATTCTCAAGCACGACGTTAAACCCAACTTCACCTCACCTCACCTCATGAAGATCCAGGCTAGAATTGGTTTTGAGCAATCCAAGGTTGTCATAAGAGGCGATTTACGTAATCAGGTGGTCAGGCTGACTGACTTGGTTTACCACTTGTCATTGTATCCCGTTTGTATACATTGATGTTCATGCTGTTGATCACTGGATTGCCTGGTCCAGACTCAATTATTTACAGACGGACGCCCCAAGGCTTGAATATTGCTGAGTGTGGTGTTAGCCAACAAACAAACCAACATAACACACTACAGATACCGGGGCGGTGGGATAGCCTAATGGTCAAAGCGTTGGCTCGTCACGCCGAAGACCCGGGTTCGAATCCACACATGGGCACAATGTGTGAAGCCTATTTCTGGTGTCCCCCGCCGTGATGTTACTGGAATATTGCTAAAAAGCTGCGTAAAACCAAACTCAGTCAGTCAGTCACTGCAGATACCAGTATCATAATATACAGAAGTACAATTCCTTTGCCACTAAGCAGGCATATATATTGTATCGCTAAGCATATGGAGCAGTGTTAACTCCCTCACTCACTCTATATTTCAGACCACTACCCTCATCGGCTTGCTAAAGACAGCCCGGTTGTTACGACTCGTACGTGTCGCCAGGAAGCTAGATAGATACTCCGAATATGGTGCTGCTGTCTTGTTGTTGCTGATGGCAACGTTTGCTCTCATTGCTCATTGGCTGGCTTGTATATGGTATGCAATTGGGAATGTAGAGCGGCCATATTTACCTGAACCTAAAATTGGGTGGCTGGATGAACTAGCTCGACAGACCCATCAGTTTTATCCAGCGAATGCTACTGGTGGCGGACCTACCATCAAGTCCAAGTACATCACAGCACTGTATTTTACGTTTAGTTCTTTAACAAGTGTGGGATTTGGAAACGTTTCTCCGAATACCAACTCTGAGAAGATATTTTCTATACTCATCATGTTAATAGGATGTAAGTATGATTTACTTATTATATGTAGATATAGTTCGAGATTGGTACTCCCCAGGGAGTTGAGAATTGAAATTTGTGTGTGCACTGATCCAAATCTAGGGGAATAATAATGTCACCATTAGCATTGATTTGGTAAATAGATTTTGGTGCATTATAAATGGACTTAATTTATATTATTGTTGTTGTTTGTATGTGAGTGCCATTTAACCATGAATATCTATGAATTCTAAACTTCTATAGCTTTGAATGCATGGGATAGCCCAGTGGTTAAAGTGTTCACTTGTCACACTGAAGACCAAGGTTCGATTCCCCACATGGGTACACTGTGTGAAGCCCATTTCTGGTGTTCCCTGCCGTGATATTGCTTGAATAGTGCTAAAAGCAGCGTAAAACCAAACTCACTCACTCTGACCAATGTGGTGGACATTTCAGATGTACGTCACTTTGGACTTACCCATCATTAAGCTGGTATGCACTGATGTAACTGGAATACAGTTCAAAGTAGCATGAAACCATACTTACTCACTCACTCAAACCTGTGACCACTCAAAGTACTGTGTCTTTGGGAGTCTGATATGGCTTTCAAGAAAATTTGTTTCAATCCTACTGAAAGCAATTGTTACTTAATTCAACATCATTACAAATCCCATTTCCATTCAACAGTTTTCAGTCTTCTGTTTCAAGTTTGGACTTAATGTGGTTTACCAAAAAAACCATTTGGTCTGTATTCTGTTATTCATGACACATCCAAGACAACAATTGATGAAAGAAATCCTAGTCAATGAAAGCCATAAACCTATTTCACATTCTCCACATTACATGTCCCCAATGAGACTACGTTCTATGGCAAAATGCCCTATTTCACTTGTTAACAGTTGCAGAAATACTTGCTTCACTACCTCTTGTATTGATATTTTAGCTAAAAAGGCTTGGAAACTTACCATCAACTAGCAATGGCAAAGGGTTTGGTGCACGTATAAAACTTCAAACAAAGGGATAATGTAATTGAAACTTTTGTTTCATGGTTGAGGGTGTTTTGTCTACTGTAAATTATCCAAAGATATCTATATGTTCTATTGTATTTCCTGTGTATATTTGAGTCCAGACAGTGCTGTAGGTTTTCTTGGTGTTGAAATATCGGCTTGTCACACCAATGTTCGATTGTTCGATTCCCTACATGGATAGAATATGAAGCCCTTTCTTGGTGTGATCAGTCACGATATTGATGGAATATTGCTATTTTGCCAGAAAATTCTACTTACCTTTAGAGTCAAGTGTGTTTTATTCATTGTGACAATTCTTATGAAAACATACAGAAATGGCCCCGATACAATTTCCGCATGGATAAAATGTGTGAACCCCATTTCTGGTGTGCCAAGGTTGGATATGAGTGGAATGATAGTTTTTGTCAAAAAAATCTAATATGTTCCCCTCATCATGGTACTTTTTTTAGAGACATACGGTAATGGCAACTCATTTCTTCTATATATGTTCACTTGTTTCGATGTTTTTACACTGTGGTATGTAATGTTGGATGTGTGTTGCAGCGCTGATGTACGCCAGTATCTTCGGTAATGTTTCCGCCATCATTCAGAGGCTATACTCAGGCACAGCCAGATATCACACGCAGATGTTACGAATCAAAGAATTTATCCGATTCCATCAAGTTCCAAATCCACTTCGACAAAGATTAGAAGAATATTTCCAGCATGCTTGGTCGTATACTAATGGTATTGATATGAACATGGTGAGTACCAACTGTTATACATCTTATTTAAGTGGCATTTAGAAGCTGGTATGATGAAAAGGAACAATTTTTATGGATAGACAACTTCTATATTGAAATAGATGCGACGTTTTGGTGTAGGTGCGAACACCATCACTTACTTGATAACGGTGTTAGCATCTACACCGAAACCTCGCAGCTATTGCAATAAGAAGTTGTCTATCCATAAAATATGTTCCTCTTGTTATACATCTGTCTAATGTTAGAAACGTTAGGTGGTGGCATGGTGGCTAGGTCTACAAAGGTGCCCCAGTACAGAGTTTGATCTTTGGGGCAGACCAGAAAGCTATGGTCATAGACTCCAACTTGATTAATTCAGATTTGGTTTCTAGGTTTGACAGTACCATACCTGTGCTGGTGGGTCTTACCAGTGTGGGGGCGGTAGGGTAGCCTAGTGGTTAAATCGTTTGCTTGTCACGCCAAAGACCTGGGTTCGATTAACCACATGGGTACAATGTGTGAAGCCCATTTCCGTGATATTGCTGGAATATTGGTAAAAGCGTTGTAAAACCAAACTCACTCATTCTGACCAATGTGGTGGACATCTCCAATGGCATGCACTGATAGAGGTGAGGTGAAATTGGGTTTAACGTTGTGCTTGAGAATATTTCGCTCATATGACGACGTGCATGCGTGTGTATGTGTATGTGCGGCTGCTTGTACTAGCCCAGACTGAAGCTGGTTTTATCGTGCTAGCCCACTGAGATACCATGCCGCAGTGAAGCATGAATACCCCACTCAGACACATTATACTGACTCCGAGCCGACCAGTCCTTGTTGTACCTATTAATGCCCGAGGGCCAGACAGGGACCAACAAGTACCTTATTTTGACGTCTTTTGGTCGCACTGATAGAACTGGAATAGCATGAACCATTCATTCACAAGAAACATCGTGTACCTTGATGTTCAAGGATGACAGCACTGGAAGTGGGAGTGAGTTAGGACTTAATGTCACTTTGGCAGTACCTCAGGCATTCAATGAAGAGATAGAACTTAAACAGTTCTCGAAGTTTTAAAGAGACGTAAGAGCTTTATCTGAGTAGAAACTGTATCCAAGGGTATTCATGTTTATTTTACTAGACTACTAGACAGCTAATGTTGTGGCCTCTTTGTTCGATCTGTCATCAGTTGTCCTCTCAAAATCAAGTACGGTTGGATTTGGTTGTTTTGTTGTTTAACGCCGCACTCAGCAATATTCCAGGTATATGGTGCAGTCTGTAAATAATCAAGTCTGGACCACACAATCCAGTGATCAACAGTATGAGCATTGATCTATGCAGTTGGGATACGATGACATATGTCAACTAAGTCAGTGAGTCTGACCACCCAATCCCATAATTCGTCTCTTAATATTTTGGCCTATATTATATATATTGGGGCATATGCACTCACTTTAACTTCCTATTGATGTAATAAATTGGGGCATATGCGCTCACTTTAACTTCCTATTGATGTAATAAAAGACTTGTTATCCCTTACGACTTGCCTGAAATCGATAATTGAAACTTCGAGGCGGACAGCTTCCAAACAGAGAACACTTGCCATAAATGGAATGTAAACAATTGCTTCATACATCGAAAACTGTAACACGCTGTGTTGTCGGAGTTTGGCGAACTGGTTTCAGTCACAAGTTGTCGGTAGGATATTGGTAAAGAGCGCTCTAAGGGACATAACTCTATGGGGTTGGCTTGAAATAATGTTCGGCCAGTACAGGGTACGAAAGTCGCATAACGTTGCATTAATTCATTTGAACTTTTTTATTTGATATTGTAATCTAAGTACGTTAAAAAAAAATCACAGATTATATGGTAGCTTCCCTGGGGGGCTGATAGTTAGTTAGTATTATTGAGAGAAATGCATTATTATTATTTTAGAGAAGTGTGGTGTGACATTGTACCTTTAATGTGCTCTCTTTTCAGCAAATGAAATACATTTTTGCCTCATTTTGGCCATCATCAGTTTAATTAAAATAATTATATTTGGTTCCTAGATGGAGCTGAAGTTTTCATATGTGTCAATTTTTCTCAGTATGTTTTTTATTAATGTTAATTATATAAATGTTTGAAGTGTCTGTCATAGTTGACTCCACCTTCAATCTGTTACAGGTATTGAAAAGTTTCCCTGACTGTGTCCAAGCAGATATCTGTCTCCATCTCAATAGGAACCTACTCAACAACTGCCCAGCTTTCAAAGGTAAATCCTGCTGTAACTTTGCTGCAAGTAGGAACTGAATAAAACCGACAATATATGCAAACTAAGTTAATTTCTGAGGCTGCACCTGTGGCTAATTGTAAGCTGACTCCCATAATCCTTGGATATTAAACCAATTATGCAGGAGGATTGGCAAAATCATGGGCATCTAAATTTATTACCCGTTCGAATTCTGGGAAACAATGTATTTTTGGTATCCTATGAACAGTGATGCATTAGTTGACATTGGCAATTCCACTTACATTATTTGGCTTCTCAATTTATAACCTGATAATATGTCTGGAATTGATTTTATCCTTGGTATTCCAGTCAATGATGAATCAGGATTACATTACTTTTGTGATCTCATTGTATTGTTTGGCTTCTTAATTTATTACCTTGGTGAATTCTGGGGTGGAATACACATTTAGTATCCCATGCTTGCCAGTGGTATAAGAAACTGATGTAGATTGGGTGGTATAAATCAGTGACTGGCAGATTATATGTCATGTGACATTGTTACTAGTTTGAGTATTCCAGACAGGTTTACTGGCTGCCTTGAGGTCTCGGATGTTACTGACTGTAGAGTAAAAATCAAATCCCTCTCACACTTTAGTTCGTGTGGTTTTCCCTTACCGTCTTTAGTGCTCCCCATATATCATACGTGCCCGTAATTACCCTTGTTCTTGCTCAAAGTAGTTAAGCATGGGTGGCCCTGTCATTGAAGTTGCAATTCATTGTGCAGTAGTTTTGCTAGACTGTCTCACAGTCAATGAACCATATTCCCTTTACCCATCCTTTACTGTAATGCTATAGCCCTAACAAGTCTAGATTTTTCACTTTCCCATCTCACTGAGGCCCCTTTTCAATTTGAGTGTACTGATACATTCAGAGTGATATATCCTGGGAACTAAGTGTAGTAGGGCGTGGAGTCATCCTATAGATGGCATCCTTACCTTGTCAGCTTGCTGAAGGGGTTAACCTCTTTGGTGATGAATGAGGACTATTTTTATGGATATACAACTTCTTTATTCTATATAGGCGACGTTTCGACATAGATTCAATGTCGTTGTCAAGCAACAATGACATTAGAATCTATGTCGAAACGTCGCCTATATAGAATATAGAAGTTGTATATCCATAAATATAGTCCTCATTCTTCATCTACCCAACTTCTAGAATGCCAATCAAAAGAACTCTTTGGTCATGTGGACAAGGCGTCTGACTTCAGATCAGAAGGTCTGTGGTTTGAATCCCAGAACGGGACACGGAAAATTTTATGCCCACTACATAAGTATCTACCTTCAGCTTACCTGAAAGCTATTTCCTTGTGGGTTGGAATCCTGATCATGTCAGAACTATACCTGCTTGTCGGTTTTACCAAAATTTGTATCTATCTGAAAACCGCCGAACTTGAGGCTTTCCTCCAACAGCAAATTGACATGTATATATGGTAAGTGATGTAACTGCAGTAATGTTTAAAAGGAAACCAAACTGACTTAATCTTGGTGTGTAGTTAAACAAGTGTTTTTGTTGCAGGAGCCAGCCCTGGTTGTTTGAGAGCCCTGTCAATGCAATTTAAAACCACACACGTTCCACCAGGCGACACTCTTGTACATCGGGTGATGTGTTGACGGCATCGTACTTCATATCTCGGGGATCTATAGAAATTCTCAGAGATGATATCGTGGTAGCAATATTAGGTAAGTGACAAAAAATTACATTCTTGACGTTTAAATATCTGCCTTTTTCATTCATTTTTACTTACATATTTATCTTTTTGTGCCAGAAGTCCAATTTAAGAAAGAGACCAACTGTCATTCATTTTTGTGTATCTGATAATTTTCATTTAATGTCACAGGGTTTTTCACATAATGGTCACATTTGGCATGTCTGTTGACCAAAAAAGTACACAAGATTTATGCCTCTTTTGTGCTCTTCTGTAGACAAAGATTGATGTTTATTTTTTTGTGGTTTCCAGGGAAGGATGACGTCTTTGGTGAGAATTTATGTAAACATGATACCGTGGGGAAGTCGAGTTGTAATGTCCGTGCCTTGACATATTGTGATCTTCATAAGATTCATCGAGACGACCTACTGGATATACTCGATATGTACCCTGAGTTTTCAGAACACTTTGTTGACAATCTCGAGATAACCTTCGACCTTAGAGATGTAAGTAACTACTAAAATGGATCAGAGAATGTTTGTACAAACTTTATTTACTTGATGCTTTATTTTTTGTAATTTTTCCTCTGAGGACAAAGATAGTTAATTTTATCAGTGTATCAAGAGTAATTGCTGCAACTCAATGTTTTTATGCATGGAATTTTGATAGGACCTTTTGATTAATGATTTGGCAAAGTATTATCAGCAAATTGGGCATTATTCGTCTTACAGATTCTTTTGAAAACCCTGTAATCGCAAAGTAATTTTGCATTTATGACACATGTGGGTAGTGAAATAATATGGGTAAAATTTTATCGTATTTTTTTCTAATTTTTGAGAATATGAGAGTTGGTGGATCTATTATCCAATGAATAAAAAATGATAGGCCATAGTTTTTTAACAAGTAGGCATGAGATCCGTGTGTGAGGTTCCTAAAAGTAGTTCTTGCTAGAAGAAATCATTTGTATAGTTACAGTGTATGATATGAAGTTTATTGTATTGGTCTATATAAACCATATCACATATACTTTTGAATGAAGATGTATGGGCTCATTTCTGTGGGTATTCTTCCAGGAGGAGCTTGTCGTACGGAGTGATGGGAGGAACAAGACTCGTCATGTTAAACGGTGGTGCAGGGCAGCATCTCCATACAGGGCGTCAATAGACTCACAAGGTGTGTGGAGCTTACATCATACTTTGTTCATATTCTTCATATGTTCATTTTTCTTTTCAACTGTTCTTTTACAAGGGCTTTGAACAGGCCTGGTTTCCTCAATTTTAAATTAGCAACCATTATCGAAATTTTCTTAGTTGAAACAGCAAAGTGGTCCATCGATCTACACCCAAAAGGAAATATTTAAATTTAGTTTGAGACAATCAAAACTTATATTTTGACAGTGGAGAGTGGTACTTAAAATGTCACATCAGAGATGATGCTTCTTTGAACCACTGTCAGCAAATATACCTTCAATTATCAAGTAAAATTGACAATTTCATCAACACACATAGTTACAAGTAACCATTGTGCAGATTGACTCGATTATCACCATCTGATTCGTAAACTGAGCTCTTCTTGGGACATGGCTGAGTTGTCCCCTTTGTTTATTCAGGATCTGTAAGTCACCCAATCCATCTTTAGATAATCTGTGGGTATTCTTGACTGACTCTTTGTTACGACTTTCACTGTTCACCACAATATGCATACTCTTGGACATCATGCTATGAGTGCAAAGTCCATATACTAGTTTATGGATAAATGATCAAGTCTGGACCAGACAGACCAGTGATCATTGCTTCAACAGCAATCAAAACTGTCATTGAAGGACACCCACTCAACCAAGTCTCCAAGAGGGATGCCTTTGGTACCATTGTACAAAACTACCTTAGAGCTAGAACTGTTGTAAGCCTATATTAAGGAGGGGCGGTTGGGTAGCCCAGTGGTTAAAGCGTTCGTTCATCACGCCGAAGACCTGGGTTTGATTCCCCACATGAGTACAATGTGTGAAGCCCATTCCTGGTGTCACTCGCTATGATATGGAATATTGCTTAAAAACGGCGTAAAACTAAACTCAATCACTCACTATGTTAAGGAATGGGAGTTAGGATCTATTAGAGCTAAGATCGCCACAAACAACAGCATTCAGATCTAATAGCAAGCAGCATAGGTTGCAGGGCACTCTTTCTAGCTTGGATTCCAAGAGAGTTGTAGATGTTCGGTGCAAATAATGCAAAGAAACAGTTTTTTCTATGGTAACTATGAGCACAAGGCAACTGAAAATGAACAGATGGGTGAAGACATATCTTCTCAGCTTAGGACTGTGAAGGGAATTAAATGTTTACATGAAATGTTTATTCCAGGTTTTGACGATGACGTCCCAGTAGTTGCAATGTCAGGTATGTCGTCTGTGGTAATGCAGATAGGGATCAAATTAAAGGGACACTGTCACAACTTACAACAGGTTGGCATGGTAACCTGAATACCGGAGATATGGAATGAACTTGACAATGTCCCTTTAAGAAATGTTTTTCTGGGATACAAATAGATGTCAAATTATTCACAGCCATATCAGAATTTGAACATAATGTTTTTATTTAGGTAATTGTTGGCAATCAAACCTGTTGTGGTATGTTTCTGAAAGTTTATGTATATTAAGAAAGATGCAGCATTATTGTAAGTGTGTCATTTCAGAAATTATTCCTAAACTATATTAGATATCAGTGGGAGTCATTTCTTCCAACGAAAATGAAAATCTGTGTTAGTTGGCTGTTGGTGCAGTTTTCCTTCTGTGACCAACACAGACCTGACATGGCTGTTTTCTCTGTGATACTCATTACAAGGTCAACATTTGAGTTGATGCTATTATATGTAATATATCATGGATGAACATGGTTCAGTTTGAAGTTATTCCCAGATTTACATGTCTTCCACAGTATACTGAAACACTATATTAACACAACAGTATAGATGGCACCTCCACTATCGGTGGTAGAATAACTATGTATAAGTAGGACTAGACTAACGCTTAGTCCAGGAATATATATAATTTTTATAGTAACAAATAATCATATTTAAATTGAAAAGGAGCCCAGTGAGATGGAGATCCTGAACAGGAGGAAATCTAGACTTGCTTCATTTAGGGCTTTAGAAGCTTGGGGGAGCTGGGCAGTAAGGAAAGTAATGTGGTTCAGGGACTATGACAAAGTAGGACATATGTCTTGACTTAGGTTCCATTCCCAAATGAGTAGAAGTTATAAAACTTATTTCTGGAGAAAGGAGTCGTGAAGTGTTTGGAAACGTGTCTGAAGCTATGTATGTAATCAATCGTATCACCAAAAAAGTTGTTTTGTTCTTCTCAACACATTTCTGATTAAAAAGAATTTTTGAAATTTGGATTTCCATCAAAATTCTCTTTGTGTCTAGCATAGAATTGGTGTGACTTGTGTTTCTATGGTGTTTCAGTGTACATAAATGTTCTGTGTTGTAGCTGCAATGCAAGTTGTGATTAATTGTTGTAGGTCTAGATAGTGAACTACTGTGTTAGATGTGCTCTGTGAGCAACAAGACATTAGTCAACTAGGAGTTACTCCCCTTTGATAAAATAGAAAATTGATAGAAAATGTTGAAATATATATTGTTGTAGGTCTAGATAGTGAACTACTGTGTTAGCTGTGCTCTGTGAGCAACAAGACATTGGGCAACTAGGAGTTACTCCCCTTTGATAAAATAGAAAATTGATAGAAAATGTAACTTACAGTAGGAAAGTTCCTTCAGTTACAATAGGAACAATGTTTCAATGGCAGTTGGACTCAATAGGAACAATTGCATATATTATTGTATCTTCATGTATAAGATGCAATGCTCCAGTAATATTGAGCACAATCCTTCAGTGACAACAGTCAATGTTTCCATGGCAGAAGGAACAATGAAACAATATGTTTGATATGTTTCAGTGGCAGTAGGCACAATGTTTCAATGTTACTTCAATGTTATTGAAAACAATGTGTCAATTGTAATACATACATACATACATACATACATACATACATACATACATACATACATACATACATACATACATACATACATACATACATACATACATACATACATACATACATACATACATTTGTATAGCGCCGATATCCAGCTCAGCTCAGCTGCTCAAAGGCGCTTTGTTTTTCCCTCATTCACTGGATGTCAATCTCAACGGCACATCGTATTGTCAATCTCAACTCCCTGGGGAGTATACAACTCTTGCAGCCACTAGGCGCACCGAGTTATTGTGGCATTCCTATCCTTACGAGGTACCCATTCAGAGCTGGGTGGACTGGGACAAATAGTCACAGTACTTTGTCCACGTTTACTGCACGTTGCTGTACCCGCAACTGGGTGTTTGCACGTATTCATGTGGCCACCATCTGGTCTTATACCAACGGATTCGTAGGTTCTTTTAAGTGCACAGGGTTGTGTACTGTACACTAGGGGTTGTGACAACACTGAAAGAGTTTGCACACAAAGTTGACTCCAAGGTTATTACACCCGGTCACAGGTGGGCTCGATCCCATCACCTCAAGCTCACTGGATCACTAGCCTGGCGGTTTGGCCAGTTCGCCCACCGCACCCCCATAATAGGCATGATGCTTCAATGTGGTAGACACAGTCCTTCAACATTACAAAGTACAGTGTATCATGAGATTCTTGAGAGGCATTTAGAAGTTGATGAATATATAAGTTGAGTATATGGATGGCAACTTCCTGTTTATTGTATATCACAACGTTTCTGGGCTACTTTTTGTCCCTTCTTCTATCACGTTGTGATATACAATAAACAAGGAAGTTGCCATCCATATACTTGACTTATACAGTGTATCAGTTGCACAATGTTCCAATGTGCCTTCATTGTTATTGAGCACAATGTGTTAATTGTAATCGGCCCAGTACTTCCATGTTACTGAGTACAGTGTATCTGTTGCAATAGGCACAATGTTCCAATGTGTTAGACACAGTGTTTCAATATGATTATGCACAATGTTCATCTAGCAGTAGGCATTGTGCCTACAGTTGACACTAGAAGTCTTGCTTGAGTCTTCGTGTTATGCTGATGGCACAACCTCACCTTTCAGGATTTATTGCTCGAGCTGCATCTTGTTTTCTTATGTAGCAGAACACAAACTGCTGTATTTGTGAGAAACTTCTAAAATTTATTCTAATGTCTATTTCATAATTCTGGCTACAACTGCATGTGCACAATGTTTGAATGTTATTGGTACATCAATGTCATTAAGCACATGTTTTCAATAACAACATCCATAATGCTCAAGGTCAAAAGATGCAGTGTTTTGTAAACTTCATAATGTTATTTTTAAAAGATGCATATCTGGTTCCTTCTGCCTGCGTCGTCATCTTCTGACCAATATTTTATTCATCTTACGAACAGAAGTACCAGATCCCTACCTTGATATTGTTGAAAGTAGTGCAGTATGGGTGGATGGTATCCAAGAGAGAACTCTCTGGTCTGACCCCAAGGCAACGTATTCAGGGGTGGAAATAACCCATTGCCCGACGTCCGTGTCCACTGTTTTTTTTTCTGTCGGGTCAGCAAATTTGTATATCACACTGTACCAGTGTCCAGTTGACTTTCCAATGTTAATTATGTTGTTTATTTAAAAAATCAGCAAGAAAACGGTCGGTATAGTGGAAAAATTATCAGGGCAAGTGACTTTACATGTGCCACTGTACCGGAGTACACTATCAATTTTAAAGTTATTTCCACCCCTGCGTATTTGGTGTAAATCTGTAGACCCACATCACCCTATTATAGCAACTGGATGATCAGACATATGTAGTTGATCACAGCACAGACCGCCATTCACTTACTCACTTGTGTTTGTAAATGTGTGGTAGGGGCGGTGGGGTAGCCTAGTGGTTAAAGAGTTTGCTTGTCATGCTGAAGGCTGGGTTTGATTTCCCACATGGGTACAATGTTTGAAGCCCATTTCTGGTTGGAATATTGCTCAAAGCAGCATTAAACTAAACTCACTCACTCACACACACGTGTAGTAACAGCAGAAGCAGTTGTAGCATATGCATGTCTGTATAACTCTTTGCTGTCTGGACTTTAAATAAACTGATTTAGATATTTTTACCACACAATTAGTCTACTAGTTTTAATCCTAGGTAAAACCCTGCATCCCCTCATATTCACTGCCCCATTTTGTGTTTTCTTCTAGTTGTGTTTTATGTTAGATAGTTTTGTCTGTCTACCCTGTCTTGTTATCTAGTCTTTTTTAAAAGAAAACAGATATGAGAAGAATACTGAATACATTGATGACACTGCCAGCTTAAGAAAAAGAGTTTTGTTAGTGTTAAGAAAAGCACCATCTCTTACCTTCCGAGGTTGTTACATCAACTTTGTTATTGACATTATTTTGGTTCCATATCCTTGTGAACATTTTGTTTACTTCAATAAATAATGTCTGTGAAGCATACAAGGTCAGTAACAGAAAACAAATGCATGGTCATTCTTATCAACATCAAAAATGGCAGGGCCACCATTTAAGAAGCTGGTGGGGCCTGTAGATTTTTGGCAAAACAATAACCTTTCTCCCCAAGGATGGGGACATATGAAATGTCCTGAATTTACTACATAACTGTTCTCTGGAATGTTCTGGTTCCATTCAGAAAGGGGCAGGTGGGCCAGCCTAGTGGTTAAAGCGTGGCTCTTAATGCCAAAGAAACGGGGTTGATTCCCAACATGGGTACAGTATGTGAAACCCATTTCTGGTGTCCCCCGCCATATTGCTGGAATATTGCTAAAAGCAATGTAAAACTCACTCACTCTCCATTCATAAAAAAGGCGATAGGGTAGCCAAGTGGTTAAAGCATTCACTCATGCTGAAGTCCCAGGTTCAATTCCCCACAGGCATACAATTTGTGAAGGCCTTTCCTGGTGTGCCAAGCCTAGATATTGCTTGAATATGTTAAGATGGGCATATAGTCATACTCACTCACCCCTTCCTGAGAAAATAAATGTATATTCTAAGTTGCTAACAGAAAAAAATACTCGTACCCAAAACAAATACTCACAAAATATTTTATCACATGCTAAACTCTGTATTTCAGACGAACCAGGGCATAATTACATTCACCGAGGAGGAAGATCATTCAAGCATCGTGGTATGGACGATGTGCCACCAGGTGGCTATGACTCAAGTGATGAAGAGATCCGAGAGAGTGGAGCCGGAATCCTGGAATTCTCCCCAGCAAAAGCTGGTCAAGATGTCACTCCGGCCAACTTTGACTTCGAGCCAAAGGACGAGAAGAAACGATCTGGAACAGGGCTATCTTCTATTGCAGGTACCGTCAAACAAGGTATCGGTATATATATTCAGATTATCGTAGCTTGTAGGTGTTCCTTCATCTAGGAGTTGCACGTAGGTATTGTTAATATTTGCCTAGTTTTTATTTCAGTTAGACCATGCCTTTTCTGGATTTGATAGGAGTTGGTGTGAAAATTAAATTAGGGTTTATTTATGTACACATAATTTGTTCCACAAAGCAAGAATTATGAAAGGCATTGTCCAACTGATGTAGTATCAGTTGTTATTCTATAACTGTACTGAACAAAAACAATTTTGAGATCATGAATATTTTGGGGGATATTTTAGTTTGTTCATACTTAACTACAAAAAAATCTAAAAAGTATTCTCAAACTACCTTCGTTCAGTACAGTTTTAGACCTTTGGTATTCTTGTCTTCCAAGAAGCAAGTTATCTCTATTTTTCTGAGATGATAAATGGCTGTTACCATTGGCTTGAAGTACTAGTTTGTGTTTTGCACATAATAAAGTTTTAATTCAATTTTATAATTAGTCTTATGGACTTGCACCTTTAGTAGATTATTTATAGTCTGATAGATGTTCAAAGACTTTGAATTTTTGTACAATTTCTAATACCCCCCTAAACTCAAAATTCTAGGCCCAATTGTAGTTTTGCCTTCTTGTCTTTCTAGAATTTTCTCTGTTCATCTTATGAAGATCTGTCTATAAATCCTCAGAATATTTAAACTTTTCAGACTTGCTTTTGCTGCTCATATTTTACTTTTTAATGAGATCCATTGTATCACATAAAGCTGAAATCCTTTCATGATTAGAATCAGAGCTCATCAATAAAGTTGACCTGTGCCATCTTCTCAGTAAAGAAAGAAAATGAAAAAAAAATGTGTTAAGCCCATTTCTGCTGTCCCCCGCCGTGATATTGCTGGAATATTGCTAAAAGCGGCGTAAAACTTAACTCAGTCAGTCAGTCAGTCAGTAAAGAAAATTAATAACAAATGTCATGTGATAGCACCAAAACGCCACATAGATATCTGCCCAGAATCAGTGAACAATGCAAGATGTTATATCATTTTTGCACCTAAAACCCTTGTAGATATCTTCACAGAATATGATGCAAGATGTGATATGCTTTCTACAGGTGCTCTGTGCAGTGTAAATACGCTTGTTAATGCAATGACCGGGAGATATGATGGGAGCAAGAAGTCATCAGAGACGGCACCGTTACTACAGGAACAGAGTGCCAGTCCGGAGCCACCGGTGAGACAAACTAGCAACGTCTGATTTCATTTGGAATAACTTGATCAAACTATACTCATGGTAACTAATAAGGGAACATGTGAAAGGACATGTGTTCCTTTATGCTTTTCCAGCTTTTCATCCACATTGCAATACAAAGCATGCAAAGAATATAGGAACACCTTTGCTTTCATGTGTTCCCTTATTTGTTTCCATGAGTATATATATATTTGGATCATTTGAAGTTAAATGTTCTTCTCTTTAATGTAATTTTTGTCAGAGAACCTTGGTTGATGTTGGTGTTGTGTGTATATAAGCAACATAAAGGGAGAAAACTTGTACGTCTCTATATCTGATGTGGTTGCAGAATCTTTATCACAATGAGATGGTATACTTTAATTTTTAGCACAAAGTTGCTTCGAGCTCTAGCGTGCCAAAATCCACGTCGAGTATGACACTTCCAGTATCCAGTCCTTCCAGTCTGTCACAGTTCGAGGATGCCGGGCAGCCAATAATTCATCCACAGATAGTCCTTCCTGACGGCTCCCTGCATGCACAACACTCCAGTCCTGCTGAGGTCGAGAAACGTCTCGATGAACTTGCAAAGTAAGGCCAAAATCAATTACCTTATACAATATACTTTAATTGTCCCCTGCCGCAACACGAACGGGGGACTATGTATTCAGCATCCTTGTTAATCTCCAGGGTATACGTTACGATCACTCTCCACTATACCCTGGATGCATCCACGGCTTGGCCCGATAGTTATATTACCTCCCTTTGCTGGCTCCGCATTCTCACAGTAGCCAATCAGCTAAGCCACCGTTACATCCGCGCTTTCCAGTGTCAACAAAGATAGCGGTCGCAGTCGCGAAGGTTTGTTCACAGCGCCACTCAGATTTTTGGGGAAATCATACAGACAAATTGACAGATCTGAAACTTTAAAAAAAATATATGGAAGAACTCCTTCTACCTCTTTCAGAGTACCTCTGCATCAATTGTGTCGCCAAGTTTAACGGTTAGATAATTTAAGCAGCTAAAGTGAGTTGTGATTGGTTTGCTCAACTTCCCAGCGTAGACACCTGATTGGATAAAAAGTCAACAAAGGGAGGTAATATAATTATCGAGCTAAACCGTGGATGCATTATAGTCGGGCATACCCTAAACCAGTCCGGATGCATTCATATCCCATTAACCCAATGAGATTGGTGACAGCCTACATTTGGGGTTTTGGAGTGACCTCAGCCTTATGATGCTGACCACTTTTGATTCTTGTTAACGCGATATCTCATTGTACCCAATGTCTTCAAATTTGGTGACAGCCTACATTGGGGGATTACGCAGACACCAGTGGATTTGGGTGGCCTTGGCCTTATCTCCCCTCAATCAGTTTATACGTTTCAATTGCGTCTGCTCTCCTCAATCAACCCATATGTTTCTATTGTGTTCGCTTATCCTATGCAGGCAACTGTCACGCCTGGAGCACAAGATGAGCTCCGACATCGCAATGATCCTGGACATCCTCCGCCAGCAAGGAAGTAGAACTGTCTCACCAAGCGGCACGGCAGAGATGCCTGAGAACAACCTACCCCCGCCCCCGGACATCTACCCCCGCCCGACTATGACAGCGGTTTTGAGTTCCCCCCACCCCCAGTTGTGTTCCAGCCACACTCACAACAGGAAGAGGTAGGATATGATTTATTTATTTGTTACGTATAAATACAATCACGGTTAAAAACTCGTATTGTGACCTCAATCTTAGTCTAGACAGTATCCTTTGAAGTGAATATTCAGAAGATTTGTAGATTATTGAAACATGGATATATAGTGCGTGAGGAGTGGGACACCAGAAATGGCCTCTGCTCTTTGTACCCATGTAGAGAATCAAACCCATCTTTGTAAAGTGAGATTTTTACCATTAGGCTACCCAAACACCACTTCATGTATATGTAGACAGTGCCAACAAGAACAGACCGCCTCCGTGGTGTAGTGGTTAGAGCGTCCGCCCGGAGTGCGGAAGGTTGCGGGTTCGATCCCCGACCGCGTCATACCAAAAGACGTTAAGATATGGTACTTGTTAAGGACTGGTCGGCTCGGAGTCAGTATAATGTGTCTGAGTGGGGTATTCATGCTTCACTGCGGCATGGTATCTCAGTGGGCTAGCAATATAAAACCAGCTTAAGTCTTGGCTAGTACAAGCAGCCGCACATACACATACACACGCATGCACGTCGTCATATGAGCCAAATATTCTCAAGCACGACGTTAAACCCAATTCAACCACCACCACCAACAAGAACATAGCAAGGCTTCTGGACCAAACAGTTCCTCAGTAACCCAATCCAGACCCAGAAAAGGTTGAAATTAAGAATGGTTTTGTCCCTTTTATCCAGTGGGCGAGATCACAGGGAGTACATGACAAAGGGCCTGCTATTATTACTCCTGAACCAATGAATCACTTTGTCTGTAATCTGTTTGCTATTTGATGTTGTTTATTTGCTATATAAATTTCAAGGAGAGCATTACATGAATAATTTGGAAAAGATTATGATATATTTTACTGCAAAATTTTAACTGGTTAATTTTTTTACTTTTTTTTCAGGGTGGAGTTGGTCCCCCTTCTCCAGGTGACTGGCAACGCACAGAACCCCCTTATACCCATCATTCCACTTTCAAATCTCCAAGCCAATCAGAATCAGATTCAATACCTGCATCTGCCAGCCAATCAGATCCAACAACAGATCCCAACCAATCAGGTCTTTCATCCGCCATAGCCAACCAGCCCGAGACTGAGTTACCCGAAGTCATGCTGTCTCCGTCTCGGCAACAGAGACAGTTGGATGAGACGGAGGGCCTCGATGTGAGAAACACAAATGTTTGATAGTGAGCTCCGCTGGGGCAGCACACTCTGTAAGTGATATGGAGGCAGATATGTGTTCTGATAGACAATAGGGACGAGGAGATGATGAAAATAGGAAATAAGTGAGTGGTATGTTTAGCAGAGACCAGTGGAACAATTTATTCAAATGCTGTGTGGGAATGACATGTGAGAGGACCAGTTGGATGTTCAAAGATTGCAGTTTTAGCAACGACCTGTTGATATGTCTGAAGAACAGCATTCTGGGAAAGGACTTAAAAGGAATGTGAATTGTTTCTACATAATTTGCCCAGTTAACTTTGTGTTAAAGGAAGGAATTGGAACTGCTGTTATGTTCTGGGAGGAAAATTGGACCGAGAACAGAAAATCTGAAACTGAGAAATAGTGGTTGAAATTACTGCCGAGGCTGTTGTGTGTTCTATGTGATTTGTGTGACATCTACATGCAAACTCTGACAGGTGACTGCACTGTACATGATACAAGTATGTGGTGAAAGAATTCTCTGTTGCTGTGCTCTTCATGCCAAGATATGATGTACATTCATTAGATGTGAATAACTCTTCATAATGCATAGTCAAGTGGATAACTCTTTGTGATGCATAACGAAGTGAAAAGACTTCATAATGCATGGACAAGGGAATATTTCTTCATAATGCATTTAGACAAATGAGAAACTCTTTGAATTATGTAGACATATTTCATGAGCAAGTGAGTACCTCTTCTTAATGCATAGACCTTGTATAGAAATTAACTCTTCATAATGCCTACAGACAAGGAAATAACTCTGCATAATGCATATAGACAAGTAGAAAACTTTACAATGCCTATAGACAAGGGAATAACTCTTTATAATGCATTTAGACAAGTAAATAACTATTTACAATGCATATAGACAAGTCAATAATTCTTTATAATGCGTATAGACAAGTACACAGCTCTTTACAATGCCTATAGACAAGGGAATAACTCTTCTTAAAGCATAAAAAGTAAATAACTCTTCAAACGCATAGACATGCTTAAACACTCTGCATCTGTGCATATTTTATACATAATGCCCATTGCTATGATATGTGTCAGAGACTGTGCTGCGAAGATAAATGAAAATAGATGAGACAAAACCCTTTCATTTCATCGGAAATCTCTGCCACAAGCTGAGTCAGTACTTCAGCAGCATCTGTTGAATATGACTCGTATCACAGTCAGAACTTCCATTGTTACTCGAATCCCATTGGAAATATATGGTTACTGAAATTCCTTCAAATCTTTTTATTGAAAGTAAATATGTTTATTGTTACTGAAAAATATATTTCCTCTTTGGCATATATTTTCATCATTCTATAAATTTTGAAACTTTTGCATAATAGTTTGTCTTACTGAAATGTCAGATTATTTTTAGCAATGTGAAATTGTTTTGGTTGACAGTTATACCTTCAGTGTCAAAGAGTTAAGCATTTTTCATTATCTTTTCTATAATTTGAGTGAGACATCTGAACGAGCCCTAAATTAATTAAGTATGTGTCCTGTATATCAGATGGTCAACAAAAATATGGTGTTGTATATTCTGGTTTGGGGTGTGTCCACATGGCTTTAAAATTTTAGACTGTTCTTAAGATTCTCTGACCAAAACCATGTTATGGTTGACATATGATTTCTCTATGATGACCTAGAGTTGTATCAGATCCACTTGGAAATAATGCATGTTCAAAATGGCCAGTGAATTAGGACAATGGCCTGACCACATGAAGGTTAATGGCTCAAAATCAGCTGCATGGACAATGGCCTGACTTCACAATGGATTGAGGGCCCAGGATCAGCTGCATAGACAATGGCCTGACATCATAATGGTTAGAGGGCTCAGAATCAGCTACATGGACAATGGCCTGACATCATAATGGTTAGAGGGCTCAGAATCAGCTACATGGACAATGGCCTGACATCATAATGGTTAGAGGGCTCAGAATCAGCTACATGGACAATGGCCTGACATCATAATGGTTTGAGGGCTCAGAATCAGCTACATGGACAATGGCCTGACATCATAATGGTTTGAGGGCTCAGAATCAGCTGCATGAACCATGGCCTGACATCATAATGGTTTGAGGGCTCAGAATCAGCTGCATGGACAATGGCCTGACATCATAATGGTTTGAGGGCTCAGAATCATGGCTGCATGGACAATGGCCTGACATCATAATGGTTTGAGGGCTCAGAATCAGCTGCATGGACAATGGCCTGACATCATAATGGTTTGAGGGCTCAGAATCAGCTGCATGGACAATGGCCTGACATCATAATGGTTTGAGGGCTCAGAATCAGCTGCATGGACAATGGCCTGACATCATAATGGTTTGAGGGCTCAGAATCAGCTGCATGGACAATGGCCTGACATCATAATGGTTTGAGGGCTCAGAATCAGCTGCATGGACAATGGCCTGACATCATAATGGTGGTTTGAGGGCTCAGAATCAGCTGCATGGACAATGGCCTGACATCATAATGGTTTGAGGGCTCAGAATCAGCTGCATGGACAATGGCCTGACATCATAATGGTTTGAGGGCTCAGAATCAGCTGCATGGACAATGGCCTGACATCATAATGGTTTGAGGGCTCAGAATCAGCTGCATGGACAATAGCCTGACATCATAATGGTAAGAGGGCCCAGGATCAGCTGCATAGACAATGGCCTGACATCATAATGGTTTGAGGGCTCAGAATCAGCTACATGGACAATGGCCTGACATCATAATGGTTTGAGGGCTCAGAATCAGCTGCATGGACAATGGCCTGACAACATCATAATGGTTTGAGGCTCAGAATCAGACATGGACAATGGCCTGACATCATAATGGTTTGAGGGCTCAGAATCAGCTGCATGGACAATGGCCTGACATCATAATGGTTTGAGGGCTCAGAATCTCAGCCTGAAACATCATATAATGGTTTGAGGGCTCAGCATCAGCTGCATGGACAATAGCCTGACATCATAATGGTTTGAGGGCTCAGAATCAGCTGCATGACATCATAATCCCGGTTTGAGGCTCACAATGGACAATGGCCTGACATCATAATGGTTTGAGGGCTCAGAATCAGCTGCATGAACCATGGCCTGACATCATAATGGTTTGAGGGCTCAGAATCAGCTGCATGGACAATGGCCTGACATCATAATGGTTTGAGGGCTCAGAATCAGCTGCATGGACAATGGCCTGACATCATAATGGATTAATTTCAGACTTTATCCTCAACAAGACATATTCATAACACATATACTTCCCATGGGATTTGAAGTTGTAATTACACCTGTATTACACCTGACTAATTCTTCTTAAAGAGACTGTGACTGAGACACATAGCAACACATTGTCATGAACATTACAGTGATAGCAGGAATGCATTGCCATCAACCAATAACGAAGTCATCATGTGTGTTCCATATTCCTAATATTAGTGAGACAAGACTTTGCAGATAAAAACCCTCAGTTGGGGCCAGGATGTTTTGATGTCAGCCCCAAACAAGGATTTTGTATCCCCAGATTCTAGTCCCACTTAACAATGAGTTGTGATCAGCTGTGTATTCTTTTTCATTTGTGTGATACTATCATGTGTGACATGTACTCATAGTTGTCATTTATTGTTATGAAATGTCCGCCAACTTCATGTAGTTTCATTCTTCATGTCCCCAAAGTGAGATCTCATGAATGTAACAGGTGGTTGTCCTTTGTTTAGGTGGGATGATTCGAGCAGCAAGACCGTTGCAAAGTGACATGTAGTGTATAGTTGGAATGGCTATGGACTGGTCATTTCATACAGGGGTGGGGGTGGGGCCAAAGTTTTCTGACGATAATTACCTACCATTATGTTTGTCTTAATTTTGGGGGCGGTGGGGTAGCCTAGTGGTTAAGGCATTCGCGCATCCGCCGATGACCTGGGTTCGATTCCCCACATGGGTACAATGTGTGAAGCCCACTTCTGGTGTCCCTCGCTGTGCTTGCTGGAATATTGCTAAAAACGGCATAGAACTAAAACCACTCACTCACTCTTAATTTTAGATGACACTCCTCTTGTCCTCATACCTATATTTCTCAACCTTCTTTGAAAGACAAATTGCAGATGTATTTAATATCTTGAGATGAAATGTCATGACCATCCCCAAATATTTGTAGAATATTTTATGACCCTTCCCTTGAGACTGCCACCTGTTTTAGTGACATCCCCACCTCTTCATTAACTTCCTTGGAGAGTCAAAATACAAAAGCACTTAATGTTTTATTGTCTATTTTCCTAAATAGTGTATGTTTTATGACCCTTCCCTAGACACTTACCATCTTGGCGAGCTGTCATATGTTATGGTGCCCTCACTCACCCTGAAAAAAACCCCACAAAATTTCACGACCCTCTCTGAAAGGGTAATTTTTTTTATTACTGATTGATCTTCAGTACCTCATGCTTGTCGTAAGAGGCGACTAACGGGATCTGACTTGGTTGACACATGTCATCTTATCTCAGTTGTGTAGATTAATGCTCATGCTGTTAATCACTGCATTGTCTGGTCCATACTCAGTTATTTACATACCACCGCCATATAGCTGGGATATTGCTGAGTGGGGCGTAAAATTAAACTCACACACTCACTCATTCCTTAGAAACTAACTTTAGTGATCACAACCCCCATCCCCTTAAACAAATGACCAGTCCCGTAAATGAACATATGGCATGATGACTATGACATAGAATGAATAAATACTAGCAAGAGTTATTTCAAATTACACTTATATTGATAAGTGGACCATAGCCTAGTGACATTCTACATGCTAAAACAGGGACTCGTGCAGACCTTCTGTTTAGATATGTTTGCTTGGAGCTACTTTGGTGTTGTTTATATGAGAATACCACAGAACAATGAATATAGTTTGAGTGAATTCTAGTCTACAGGGCATTTTATTTGTTTTTCATTTGTTTTTATGACTTATGATGTTAAGAATCTAGTCATGAGATGATATTGTTAAATGGTTGCAAAATTTCAGACTCCTGATCAGGGTTTCATATTGCATCAGGAAATGAATTGCTTAGAAGTGATGTTGTTGGGGGACAAATCTAGCAATATTTAAGAGACCAACACCTGTATAACGTTATTACTGGTAGATTATGAAGTTATGGACTGACTATTTTATCTTCTGGATGAGAGTAGGGAGGGAGCTGGGATTTTTACTCACAATGTTTCTCGGTAACTGGGTAAATGCATTGTCCTGAGAAAAATGTCATGCAAAATAAAAATGACTTTTCGAGAGAAAAGAAGTAATAGCAATCAATGTCCTTAAAATGGATTCCTGACCAAGTCATTGTTTTGTTTTATACTGAACAGGTGCTTGGTCCTCGGAGTGTTGTATGTCAGACCACTCTGCTTGAAAGAAGTAAACCCTTGTCAGGAATATAAGCAACAATATGATGTATTATTAACACATGAATTTCAGGTATGCATATTTCGATCGATATTCAGACAATAGAAATTTATTCTAATACTCGCACACTATGCTCAAACATAAAGTTAACAGTTGTTGCTTTTAATATGTAACTTGTGTTAAATTTTTGTGTGTTCATTGACATTCTGAAATATGTGCATTATGCCATTTGCACTGACATGTTCTGGAATCAAGGGGGGATAACTCATGAGCCCTTACTCCATGGTAGTGTCCCTTCGACATACTTTGACCACAACACAAAATTATTCATTATCCTTATGTAATTTTCATCTGTTTTATGGGATAATTTTGGGGATGAATTGGTTTATCCGTCAGTGCAGTTGGCAGAGATGATTATGTAGATTTTAATGGAGCTTTAATTTATAGACTATTGGCCTATCTGACTAGCAATGCAACATGGCAGAACATGAGTACACAACGCAAAGAAACAATGGCACACCTTATTTTCAGAGGATTTATGTATAGTGAGCAATACCTCATATGTATATATAACCATTTGTACATTGTAAATTATGACAGCTTTTATTTTCAATTATGTGATATATTTCATTTTTACATAAGACCCTTTCTTTTACCATTAAAGTTGTTCATTGTTCCTTTGTCCATGCCAAATGTCTGTCAGGAGTTGTTTCCCATGACAGTTTGTTATTGGTAGTTACTTCCCTTGGTAGGTTTTCATATTTGTACAATTTTTTGTTTATAACTGTGTTTATATGAATATCCAACATTCAGTAATCTTGTTTTAATGTCAATGGATTTCCTAGTCAAAATAATTTTGCCAAATTAGTTTATGTTGCTGTAAACTGACGTCAGACCTTTGGATATTCACCAGTTTCCTGCATATGTTTAAAATATATCATTAGTGGGACAGTCGTCTAACTTGCCACAATTTGATGGACGTTCATCAAGATGGTAAACATTTGTGACCCACATTACATAACAATTTCCAGTCGTGATAGAGTGCCATGCTGACATATAACTGAAATACTGTTTAAACGTGTGTTAAACCCATCTCACTCACTCAAATGTATTCCCACCATTACAAATACAAAATGTGAATTTCATTGTAAAAATACACAATTTAATTATCCGCACCTAGTATTTAACATCATCCACCATAATTCATGACATTTCTGGCACAGGTTTTTTTGACATACACATTAAATGAACTTGTCCAAAATGGAAAAGTGCAATAATTGTATTTATAGATTTACATTTCCTTAAATATCACCTCAGCAATATTTACATTTATAAACATGTATTTATATAATAAAGTGACATTATTGTTCTTGTTAAATTATGTAATGTATAAGATAGTATCCCTGATATTAAATCTTCATGGTGGCAGATATTT